ATTTTAATTGACAAGGAATTGGTTAATTTATGAAAGAAAATTGGCTATTCCGAGATTTGCGAGGATATGAATGATTTAGTAATCCAAGGAGCCCTACTTATTCTTTACCCACTGACCCCAACCCAAATCTGAGTCCGACCTAGTGTCGAAGCGGTCAGCCAAAGAATCAAGGAGTTTGCTGATTTAGGATTTCAGTTAAGTTATAAAGTGATGGTTGATATTTTTATCCTTTTTGAACCGCGATTAGAAAATATTGGAGCCGATTTAATCAAGGCTTTCGCAGAAGTAAAAAAAGATTCGCCAGAAAATTATTTAAATGGATGTTTAAGGGAAATCCAATTCCGCCAAGAAAGAAATCAACTAACTTGGGAAAAAAGCCAAAAAATTAGCCACTTCATTAGCCAGTCAAATCCGACCGAACAATTGGCTTGGATACAAGTTTCCTTTCCGCCAAATTCTTAAAATATCCCTGTATATTTTTTCTTATCTGTGTCTATTGAAAATATTCGTGCCTATTTTTCCAACCTCATCTTCCACAATTATAAAATTAAAACTATATTATTACATGACGAAAAAGAAAGTAAATTGCCGCTATGAACTGCTTTGTCTTCTCAACGAAAAGGAGAAGAATAAGGAAAAATACGAAAAAATGATTAAGAATATACAAGAGATTTTAGGTAAGGAAAATATTGCTAAGGTGGAAGAAAAAGATTGAAAACCAGCCTATAAAATTAATACATTAAAAACTGGCAAATATGTTCTCATTTATTTTAATTCAGCCCGTCCGCAAGCAAAAGAATTGGAAAAAAATGTTTTACAAACTGCCCCCAAAGATTTTCTTAATCGTTATCTCTTAGTAAATTTGGAAGATGAAAAAAAGAATAAAATTAAATTAATAATAAAAAAAGATAAAGATGCTGAACAAAATTAAAATAATTGGTAAGATCGTAAATAAAGATAAGGAATTAAACGAAAAAAAAAAAGATGATATGGCCGAAGTTTCCGAGACGATGCCTGAGACAGATGAATCATCAACAGAAGCCAAGCCAGAATCTAAGCCCGCAGAAAAAAGGCGAGAACCTTTCTTTCATTTTAATTTATTTGTTCCGGTTCCCAGTGGTTCATTGACAGTTTTGCGTTGTATCAGCCAGGGAGAAATAGCCGCAAGGATTAATAAAGAGGTTCAAGAGCAAGAAGTAATTGAAGTCCGGGGCTATTTGAGAAATGAAAAAGATAGCCGTCAAATATTAGTTAGAGTAGTGGAATTTGCTAAACTCGATATAAGTTTTGAAAAAATTAGTTTGGAAAATTCTAATCAAGTGCGGCTACTTGGCAAAATAGTTAGTGAGTGGCAATTTGTTGCAGAATACAGACAAAAACCGGAAGTATTATCCTTTAAATTGGCAGTTCCCCGCGAAGGAGTTAGATCACCGCTTTTCTTTTGTCGAATAAATGAGAAAGAATTGGTAGACGAATTTAATGAAAAATTACAAAAAGGTGATGTTATTCTTTTAGAAGGATTTTTACAA